TTCCAACTTTTTGAGAAAGTGCTATACTGCCTTCCATAGTGGTTGCACCATTTTACACTCTCACAAACAGTGAATAAGGTTCCAATTTCTTCACAAACTTGTCAGCATTTGTTGTTTGTTGCTCTGTTGAATTTTGCTATTGTCACTAGGGTGACATATCTCATAGTTGTTTTGATTAAATCTCTCTTAGACCTAGAGATTTTGCACATTTCTTCATGTGTTTGTTCACCATCTGAATATCTTATGTCTTCTTTAATGAAGTGTCTGTTCAAATCCTGTGCCCACCTTGCGATAGGATTGTTTGCCTGTATCTTGGGAAGCTTGATTCTAGATAGAAGTCCCATATCGGACATCTCGTTACTAAATATTTTTTCCAATCTGTGGCTTTCCTTTTTACCCTGTTGGAGAAGTTTTTTTGACATGTATAGGGATTTGATTCTTAGAAGGTCCCATTCATCTATTTTATCCTCTCCTGGTTATAGGTTTTTCAGGATGCTTAGAAGAGTGTTCATGTTGTAGATTAAGGCTTCTAGAGTTCAAGCTTTTACCTAATGATGTTTATAATCTTTGGTTTTAGTCTTAGGCCCTTGATCCACCTTAAGTTGGTTTCTGTGTATGATGTAAGGTGTGAGTTTTGCTTGAGTTTTCTGCAGATAGTTTTCCATTCCAGATGTTGTTGGAAATTGCCTTCTACATCTCGTTGAAGAATGGAATTGGTATTTGTATTGAGACTGCATTGAATGTGTAGATTACCTTTGGTAGAATTGTTATTTTCACAATATTGAGTTTTTCTATCCCAGAGCAAGGTATATTCTTCCATTTCGCCAAATCTCTTTTTGTTTCTTATAGTAACATTTTGTGATTTTCTTTGAATAGGTCCTTTGTATTCCTGGTTAGATTTACTCCCAAGTATTTAATCTCGTGATTAGCTAATGTGAAGGATATTGTTTTTCTTAGCTTCAGTTCTATATTCTCTTTGTCACTGTAGAGAAATTAATTTTTTTTTGTATGTTGATCTTGTATCCTGCCACTTTGCTGGATTGGTCAACTATGTCCAGTAATTTTCTTGCTGAATCTTTAGGGTTTTCTAAGTATACTTTCATATCATCTGCATATAGAGATAATTTTACCTCCTCTTTATCAATTTGGACACCTCTTTCCTTTTCTTGTCTTTTTGCTATCACTAAGACTTCCAGTCAGAATTAACTCAACAGCAATGAGTTTGGTTTTGGTATTGGGTATTTGGTATGTATTACATATATACAACGGCGACAGAGAGAGAGAGCTACGATTGCCTAGTGGACAGAAAGTTATGCTATGAAGCAGAAGGTGGGTGATTTTAATCTGCGGCCCTCAGGCCAGGTTCAAATTGTTTTTCTGTCAAACATTCTTCTAGGTGGTATAGCACTGGCCTGTGCACTGCTGTACAGTGGTAACTTGTGGTTGCTGTGATGCCGACCACTGTGACACTGATGTGCCAAATGTGGTAATGGTCACCCATGGTGGACAGTGTTGGCTGGAGCTTCCCGACTAAAACAAGCCTGGAAGCAGGAGTGGCATCCACTTCCAAAATGGCTTGCCTTGGGAAACTCTATGTATGAACAGTGCTCAGGCCTTTTGTCCATATGGTCACTATGAGTTGTCTGTGACTCCATGGCACCAAACAACAACAACAACAAGACTTCCAGTACAATATTGAATAGGCAAGGTGATAGTGGGCATCCTTGCTCAAAGGGAATGCCTTTAATCTCTCTCCACTGAGAACAACGTTAGCTCTTGGGTTTTAGTATATGCTTTTTACTGTGTTGAGGAAATTCCCCTCTATTCTTATTTTGTTGAGTGTTTTAATCGGGAAAGGATGTTGGATTTTGTCAAAGGCCTTTTTTGCATCAATTGATAGGATGATGTGGTTCTTGTTCTTTTCTTTGTTAATGTGATGAATTACATTGATTGTTTTCTTATGTTGGACCATCCTTGCATACCTGTTATGAATCCCACTTGGTCATGGCGATTTTTTTTTTAAAAGTTAAAAATTCCTTAATTTTTTATTCCTGGTACCACTACCACAATTTACAGGGCAATATACCTGATGTAATTAAAAGAAAAAGAAAAAAGACAAAGCTACAACAGATAAAAGACCTCAGGAATGTGCATCTAATTGACACTACATTGCATTAACCAATAGCTGCACTTTTTGCAAACTGTGGCTATGACAGTCCTGAACAAGAAGGGTTTCCTGTTTAAGCTGCAGTAACTTTTCTGACTATGGATCATTGTTCCTTCTGTGGCAGATTTTTACAGTTCCTCTAATGCATTTGGGATGACTGTCTCAAAGTAACCTGCAGCTTTCCTGACAACTCCTCGCTCTCTCTTCTGCTAAGAACTGTAGCCCTTTGCTGTTGAATTTTTAGAACCTTCTGCTACCATATCCACCACTTCCACCACCAGATCCATAACCACCACCATAAGGACTGCCCGAGCTTCTTCCACCAAAACTGCCCCCCTTCATGGGTCCATAATTTGACTGCTGTTGTCCACTATAATTTCCAAAATCATTATAGTTTCCACCACCACCATAGTTACCCCCGCCAAAGTTTCTGCCTTCATTGTAACCATCATATCCTCCACCACCGCCACCATATCCACCACCTTGGTTTCCATATCCTGGTCCACCACCACCATAGCCCCCTCTACTACTATAACCAGGGCCACCACCGTAATTGCCACCATCACCTCCAAATCCATTGTAACCACCATCGCCTCCTCCATAACTACCTCTGCTGCCACCACCTCCTCCACCATAGCCTCCTCGTCCACCAAAGTTCCCACCACGGCCAAAGTTCCCTCCACCACCTCCAAAGTTTCCTCCACGACCCATAAAGTTCCCAGATCCACCTCCACGACCTCTTTGTGAGCCAGCAGACTGCATCTCTTGCTTAGAAAGGGCCTTTTTCACTTCACAATTGTGCCCATTAATAGTGTGGTATTTCTGAACAACAATTTTATCAACTGTGTCATGATCATCAAAAGTTACAAAAGCAAATCCTCTCTTTTTTCCACTCTGCCTGTCTTCCATAACTTCTATGGTTTCTATTTTGCCATATTTTTCAAAGTAGTCTCTCAAATTATACTCTTCTGTATCTTCTTGAATGCCACCAACAAAAATTTTCTTCATTGTGAGATGGGCACCAGGCTTTACAGAATCCTCTCTAGAAACAGCTCTCTTTGGTTCCACTACGCGTCCATCAACCTTGTGTGGCCGCGCACACATTGCTGCATCCACCTCTTCAACACAAGAGTAAGTCACAAAACCAAAGCCCCTGGAACGTTTTGTTTGGGGGTCTCTCATCACCACACAATCCGTAAGTGTGCCCCATTTCTCAAAATGTTCTCTTAAGCTATCATCTGTAGTTTCAAAGCTCAGACCACCAATAAACAGTTTCCGTAACTGCTCTGGTTCTTTAGGATCATGACCCTCGATTTTGAGACCGGACTCGCCTCTTCCAACTCGAGTTCAATATGAGACCTGAATTTTTTTTTTTAATGCATCATTGGATCCTATTGGCCAGGATTTTTTTCAGGATTTTATGTCTACATTCATGAGAGATATTGGCCTGTAGTTTTCTATTTTGGTGGTGTCTTTACCTGACTTTGGTATCAAGAATATGTTTGCTTCATAGGCAATCCATCTTGAAGGATTTTATCTTCTGTAGCAAGTGGTTCAAATCCTCCTCACTTTCTGCAAGCAAGGCTATATTGTTTGCATAACATAGGTTATTGATGAGTCTTCCTCTCATCCTGATGCTACATTCTCCTTTATAGGGTCCAGCTTCTTGAATGATTTTTTTCATTGTACAAATTGGATAAATATGGAGAGAAGACATAATCCTGATGCACACCTTTCCTGACTTTAAATCATGTTAAGATTCCCTTGCTCTGTTCAGACAACTGCCTCTTGATCTAGTAATAGATTTTGCATGAGAAATCTAAGTGTTCTGGGATTCCCGTTCTTCTCAATATTATTTAAAATTGGTTATAACTCACACAGCCAAATGTCTTTGCATAGTCAATAAAGGGTAAGTAGACATACTTCTGGTATTCTCTGCTTTCAGCTAGGATCCATCTGACATCATCAGTGATATTTCTGGTGCCACAGCCTTTTCTAAATACAGCTGGAATGGCAGTGTTTTGCTTGCATTTGATACTAACTGTTTTATAATTTCCACATTATGTTGAATCTTTTTTTTTTTAGTGAGAACAAATATGGATCTCTTTCAATCAATTGGCCAGGTAACTATCTTCCAAATTTCCTAGCACAGAAATTCCTGGCAAACATGTTATTTGAAACATGTCAATTGGGATTCCTTTAATTCCTGGTGCCTTATTTTTTTGCTAATGCCTTCGGTGCAGCTTAACTTCTTCCTTCATCACTAATGGCTCTTGATCACATGGTACTGTCTGAAATATTTTTGTGTTGGCCATTTTTTTCTGGTACAGTGACTCCATATAGTCTATCTTCACTTAATGTTTCCTGAGTCATTCAAGATTTTGCCCATAACACCTCAGTATTGCAACTTGAAGCTTGATTTAAATTCTTTCAGCTTAAGACACTTCAAGTGAGTTCTTTGCTTTTATTCTCCAATTCCGGCTCTCTGCATATTCCATTATAATACTCAACTTTATCTTCTTAAGCTGCCTTTCGAAATCTTCTGTTCAACTCTTTCACTCCAGCGTATCTTTCCTTTTTTTGATTTCTAAACACTTTAGTCAAATTTTTTACCATTTCTTCTGACATTCATTTCGGGGTTTTTTTTTTTCTTCTTTCTCCTCTGTTTTTGTAGTGACCTTTTGTTCTCTTTAGGGGTAATATCCTTGATATCATCCCTCAATTCATCTGGTTGTCAATCACTAATGTTCAATGCCTCACACCTATTCTTAAGATGATGTTCAAGTGGGATAGAAGCAAGGTAACATTTTTGTTCTTGTGAAATTTTAAAAGTTTTCTTCATTGTTCGTGACCTAGAATCAACACTCTTGGCACCAGAACTCAGGAAATCAAAAGACAAATTGCATTAGGTAAATATGTTTTCAGGGACTTTTCCAGAGTACTGATAAGCAATGATATCAGTCTAGAGACTAAGGTGTGCCTGATTCAGTTCATGGTCTTTACAATTACTTGCTATGCATCAGAGACCTTAATAGTGACTAAGAGGACAGAAGAATTGATGCCTTTGAGTTGTGGTGCTGGAGGAGAATCTTGAACATACTATAGACCACCAAGAAAACAAATAGATCTGTCTTGGAAAGGCTGAAACCAAGTTTCTCCTTGGAGGCTAGGATTTTGAAGCTCCATCTCACATACTTTGGACATGTGGCCAGTAGGGACTGATCTTTGGAGAAGGATATCATGCTCAGAAGGGTGGAGGGACAGCACAGGAGAGGAAGACCCCAGATAAGATGGACTGATACAGTACCTAGGGCAAGGGGCATAGGGTTGTCTGAGTCAATGAGACTGGCTCAGAACAGATCAGGCTTCAGTGCTGCTGTACATAGGGTTGCTAAGAGTCATAGGTGAGTCGATGGCACATAGCAACAACAACAACAACCAGTATTGCTATTTTGCAATATGCTGTTGCTGTCACTATAATAAATGTTAAACTACCTTTTGGACCATGGCATATATCTTTGCAATCATTTGCTATGTGTCAGAGAGCTGGAAAATGACTAAGGATGATAGAGGCAGAATTGATACCCTTGAGCTGTGGTGTTGGGAAAGAGTACTGAATATACCATGGACTGCTAAGAGAATGAACAGGTTCATCCTGGAGAGGGTTAAACCAGGCTGCTCCTTGGAGGCAAGGATTCCGAAGCTTAGTCTGACATACTTTGGACATGTTGCAAGGAGGGGCCAGTTGTCAGAGAGGGACATCACACTTGGGAGGGAGGATGGACAGCTCAGGAGAGAAAGCTCAACCTTTGATGAGATGGATTGATTCAGTGACTGGGGTAATGAGGGTAGGTGTGTCAGAGACAATAAGATTGGCACAGGATAGAGCAGGGTTTAGTGCTCTTGTACATAGGGTCACTGAGTCACAGGTGACTCAATGGCACATAACAACAACCACCTTTTGGACTGTCTTTTCAAGGAAGAAATAAAATGTTTGTATTCCCATAAAATTAGATTTTTGGAGAGTCTACTTGAATTTGTTGCCCAGTTTGAGAAACTTTTTATCAAGTAACCTCTAATAATATACTAACAAAGGAAAGAGCAACCCATTGTTTATATCTAAAACAACCTGGAAATAATGGAAAAAAAACCCATGATAAATGAAAATGTTTGATCAACTATTTTCAAGAAAATAAGTATAACTTGATATTTGCATTTGTATTTAGGTTATGCTCTTGATTTTCTTGTACAAATCAGCATCATTTTAAGATGAGTACCTCCAGCAGATTCATCACATTTAGCAGTCTAAAAGTCATATGGGGGGAAGAAACTTTAATTCAAGGAATTCATTACTTATGTGAAGGTTGCAAAGGTGATTATCCTTCATGAAAATGGCCAGTCCTATGATAATGCTGCCAACATGTTAAAAAACAAACAAAGAAAAACCAACCACATAACCCAACAAACAAAGACCTAACATCAAAACTCTCTGTGATCAATTTGCTTCTGACTCATAGTGACCCTCTATTGGATTTCTGAGACTGTAAATTGCAATGGGAAAAGACTATCCTCCTGAGGACTTTGAAACTCCCAAGACACACAGCTTTTGAGTTAGTAGTGCAATTCACTACAGATTATGACACCAGAGCTCCTTGACAGTATATTAGGCCATCATAAAGATATGTGAGAAAAAAATGTTAGAACATAATGTTGTGCAGCACATTTTCGTGTCCATACTCTTGGTACCAGCAGTCAGAAAATAAGGAGACACATTGTACTGGGAAAATCAGCAGCTAGAGACTTTCCAAATTATTGAGGAATAATGATGTCAGTTTGAGGACTAAAGTGTGTCTAATTCATGCCACAGTCTTTCTTATTATTAGCTATGCATCTGAGCGCTTGACAATGAATAAGGATGACAGAAAAAGAATTGATGTCTTGGAGCTGTAGTGTTGGCCCATGGATGGCCAAATACAGAATGAATAGATATGAATGAACAGATATATCTAGGAGAGGGTGCAGCTGGAGTGCTCTTTGGAGGCAAGAATGATGAGGCTTTGCCACACATATTTTGGACATATTGGTAGGAGATGCTATTCCTTGGAGAAGGATATGATGCTGGGAAGGGTGAGGGTCAGCAAGGGAGAGGAAGACCCTCAACCAGGTGGATTAATATGGTGACTGCTGCAATGGGCTCTTGTGTGTCAGCAAGTGTAAGGATGATGCAGGATAGAGTAGGATTCTGATCTTTTGTTTATAGGGTCACTATGAGTCATTCTTGACACGATGGCACCTAACAACAACAACAATAACAACAACAAACAAAATAGCTGTCCAGAAGTAGTTTCTTTATCCTGCTGCTCTGAATATTTTTTGGCTGCCTCTACTCACCAATTGGCCGTTCTTATAACATGTTTAGGCAATGATCAAGTATTAAAAAGAACAAACAAATCTGTCTTGGAATAAGTATAGCTAGGATACATTTTTTAGAGGAAAGGATAGTGGGAGTTCATTTTACATACTTTGGACATGTTATTGGGATCAACAGGTTCCAATCCTTGAAAGGGGACATCATGTTTGGGAAGGTAGAGGGTCATCAAAGAAGAGGAAGACCTTCAATAAGATGATAGGCACCGTGATTGCAACCTTGGGCTTAAGCACAGAAGATATTGCAAAGTTAGAGCAGGATTAGGCAAGGTTTTGATCTATTGTACATAGAGTCCTTGTGAGTCATATTCAACTCTATGGCACCAAATAATAGCAAACAATACACATTGTGAAGTGCATGATGCTGCAGCAATAAATGCAACCCTGGAATTATACACTCAGATTCTAGATGCTTTTGAAGACATTACTAAAGACTAGACACAAAAGGAATAGTAAAGAGAGACGCTAAAGACATTCCTGATGAAATGTACACAGCAGAGTATGTATTTATGTTGGTTATGTGGAATAATGTATTGCAGCATTTTCATCAGACAAGCCAAACTTTCCAAGATTCAGAAGTAAATTTAGATATGCACAGATCTCTACCAGTTATTAACAGGATATTTAGATAATTTAAAAGAATTTTGCACAGCAAAGAAAATACTATTTGTTACACATTTTACATCATAGAAGCATTAGAAAGGAACAAGTAAATGATGGAAGTGCTTCAGAAGGATCGCTTGGTGACAGAATTTCATTTCATGCATAACATGCTACGCTATCATAGACAGACCTGAATCCTGCATAAAATGAAGGGTGAAAGTGGATGAAGTTCTTTCAAATAGACTTTTCTTCTTAAATGATACAGATATACTTGATGAAGAATGAATTAAGGTGTCTATAAAATCAACTT